TAAATAGTACTTAAAATACTCATTAATAATTCATAAACCTTGTGGCAAATCATGTCAGCCATAATATGTCACGTGGAGTGACTTTATATCTGATAAAGCATGCGGCATTATATAATTGTTCATCCTAATTAGTATGATTATATAATGTTCATCCTAATTAGTATTCTTTTGTAGTCGTATTTTAAGCTATTCAAAACACGAGTAGGAGTGTTTTATCAGACATAAAACGCTCGGCTGCGCCTCGTTTTTTAAATAGTACATAAAACATTTTTCCGTATTGATATACAGTTACATCAACACTCGTGGAAATTGGGAAAACTCGAAATTGTGTGAAAACACTTCGCCCTTGGGGCGTCGTGTTTCCACACAATTTCTCGTTTTCCCAATTCCCACTTGTGTTGATATATAACTGTATATCAACACGGAAAATGTTTTATATTTGTTAAACATTATACCGTAGATAGATCGAATCTTCAGTTAAGTATACTTGCATGGTATGTTTATGTGAATATCATGCACAACTCGATCACTAACTAGTTTAGCCTAGCTTTCCAGTAACTCAATTCTATATGATAATGATATGCTATCAAATGGGAAATTTTTAAAATCTAAGGTATTTACGATACAGAGCTTAAAACATTGTGTTGTATATGTAGTAGCATTTTTAAAAAGACATTGTCGACAGAAGAAAAAAGACATGACATAAGATTCACGGCAAAGCAAATTTCAGTTATTAGAATATCAAACCTCCCTTCTAAATTCTATTTTTCTTCCATGTTTTGCTTATATTTTAGAGATAAGGGACTTTAGCTGAAGGGGGGGGGGGATGGTTGAGTGGGGGGGGGGGCATTGGTCGGGGGCCCCCCCCAGTTATATAGTTAATTAAAAAAGGCCCTATAACTGCTTCCAAAAGCCCCAACTCTGGTGCATCTTTCTGTCCAACAATTCTTCGCTTGGGTTATACAGAAAAATGCTTATTAATTAAAAAGCCCCTTTTATACATATACTGTGTTTCAGTTATAGCAAACCGTACGTTATTATAATTTTGTGGTCACATGACACATGTAGTTCGAAGAAATTAATAGTTTCTTGAGACTAATTAACTTATGAATTTTATCAAAAATAAATTATAAGAAAGTTTCCTTACCATCACAAGCTTTTGATGGGCAAATTTTTGCACTCAAAAAACTGTTAGGGGCAGCTTGTACAGACATAGATGCCACGATGACGACCAATAAAAACAGAGTTACCTTCATCTTGCACTGAAAGACAATAGAAAGAAATTGTGTAAGAAAAAGCACTGCTGTGCTAGGTTGCGGTACAGTGAATAATAGGCCCAGAACTGGCCAAATAATGTACACATTGGTGTACTTGAGAAATTAAATTAATTATAAAGTGTCATGCATATATCATATCATATCATATATGACACTTTTCTAATCTAATAGATATAGGAAAAACTGATAATTTACCAGGAATACAAATATGTGGGCTTTTTGACATGATCTGTCAAGTAAAATTTATATTTTAAAAAAATAGTCTGAAGGATCAGTAATTTCCTGATGCATGCATAAGATCATTTGGCGTAGTTTTTTGCAATCAAAACTCGACCCATTTAACTGTATAATAAACGCAGGTCGAAAAATTATATCAATCCTCAAAAAGAAAATATTTATATAAAAATTTACTGGCACATATATAACAAAAAACCTCACCTTTCAATAATCAAAACAGTTCCTGTCTTTCTCAAGAAAAGGGATCTTGGTGTAAGTGATGATGGACGTTTCAACAGCTGCTTTTATAGATCCAGTGAGGTCATGCTAAGTTCAACAGATGGTCATACTTACGACCGCAAACAAAGTTTTGAGATAAGAACTTTCTTTGTTATTTTGTTTCCATGCATTACGTTCCGACTTTCTGCCCTCATGACGTTGATAGGTATCTAGAAAGTTTTTTAAATAAGGTTGAAAGGCGGGCAACTACTTGAACTAATTTAAAACTTTGTCATTTCATGCATGCATGTTTCAGCACGATGTATGTAATTTATTTATAAAACTAGTTGTTAAAGGAAGCAAAGTGATGTTTCCATGATAATACTATAGACATATATAAATATAATTATTATAGCGTGAAACGCTAGCGGTATTAGTAGTTAATAGAACATTCACTGCATGCATCTGTAAACGGTTTTTGTACTTTCCTGACGACACTCTGCATGATGTCAAAATTATGGTTTCAATGAGAACAGGAGTATATACTTAATGCCAATAATGGTTAATAACTGCATGCATGTAATCTATTCCATGCAGTAAAGATTGCATAAAAACAGTAGTTCAAGTATATAGTGTCATCTAAATGCTACATCAGTAAAATATAAATAATTATGTGTGCATGTATGAATACTTTTTCCTAAGCAAATTAAACTGATCGATGTGTCTATATTTCACTTTAAATTTTGTTATACATTACTGATCATAATATAATTAACCGCGCAGCGCAGTGCTGATATATCCATCATTCTATTAATATATACAAAGACTGACCTATAGCCGAAACAATTAAACGCATACATGCAAGCTTATTTCAAACTACTGTTTTGAGACATAATATTATCTCTGCATGTTTAACAATAAAGATATTAAATATTTATATCAAAATATTTTCCGATATGCCACATATTGCCGCGGCGAAATTATTATTGAAAAATTATTAGTGAAAATAACGTATTAATTTAAAAATGTTTGACTGACTAAATTTGAAAATACACCTCAACCCGAAATTACATAAAATCATTTAGTGTTATACTCGAATAAAATATAAATTAAAAGACGCATGCATCACATGGTTCGGCCATAAACATATAGCCAGACAGCTTTTTCCCATATCTTCTTACACTTATATAAGAAAATTTCTTTATTTGACAAAACTGCTTCTTATGCAGTCTTCATATATTATTCTCATTGATCAGTTATTCTACTTTAAAGTTGTCCGATTTTAAGCATTGACATGCATGGATAAATCCATACAGTACAATGTGCAAAAGAAGTTAGTTATTGTATAAATTATGTTTATACAATGCATGTGTATTATATGTAAAGTTGACATCATTTACAGTCAGATGACGTTTACCACTGATACATGGACATCATTTTAATTTTTGAAAATCTTCTTATATTTTTAAAATCTGTATCCATGCATACACAAGAGATATAAATATAGTGGTCGAATCTATAATCCATATTTGGATGTTGTCCACATCGGCTATGATGGGTGTAGTTGAGTATCCCACACCCATACTTCAAACTATTTTTATCAGAATGATCGTATAACTAATTCACAAGAAAGTGAACTGGGTTTCATTGTATCTTCAATTATGTGCTAGGCCTATAATCTATATACATCTTTTCATTGTTGTGGCATATGACATATGCTATACGGTTTATCTATCCATGCATTGATGTTTTCAGTAAACTAAAATGTAGAATGTATTGAGTTTTCGTAACTTAAATTTATTAACTCTTAGTTGGTAACAATGTAGTTTGTGGAGAATATAAAAATTCAAGAACATTCTTCCATATATAGCAATATTTGGAACTTAACGAATCATGTATATAAACAAATTAAACATATGTTTCATCCATATATGACCATGCAGCATGCATGCAATACCGAATGCCGGATATATAACGGTGTATAATTGTCAGTTATCTACCTTTATATAAGTATGCATATATATATAGTGGTCTTGCAATTTGAAAATTGAAAGGATAATTTTCACAAGGATGGCTTAAACACAGCGTGTTGTTATTAATTAAAACACCATGGTGAACAAGTATTGCCGACGGCAATTTTAAGAGTTTAACTCTCACCAATCGAACGTTCATGCCCTATGGAATAACATTCAGTATATACCGTTATATAGAGATATTAATAATATTCGTAGACATGCATGTATGAATTAATCAAGTTGCAGATGGAATGTTATAGGCCTACGCAATTTTCATTGTGCATTTCATTCATCCATTTATATTTGTCTATATGCATTAAAAAGTGAGAACTTAAAATGTTATAAGAATATATATATACGTTCTGGGAAAGGGGATTAATGTTTCACGATGTATTTGACTACATTTATTTGCTTCAATACCGCGGTTATGAAATCTAGCCTGATTCTTAGTTCAAAGTAATGATACAACCATCTGATACAATCTTCAATTTTTTTTCCAAAATTTGAAGTTCAGTACTGATATTAAATTTAGTCGCCCACTCCAAACTCCTTCAGATAAATAATCTAAAATCTCATGTTCAAATGTTGTGATTCGAGCGTTGGCTGCGGTTAGATGAGCGTACTGTTATTTTCGTTTGTTTAACAAAAATAAGAAATTATACATGTTTTTGGAGGAACACATGTAGATGGTTAGATAATTTTAGCGGAAACCAATTCAACACGATTTTATTAAGTTTTGTATATTTCTCTTTATAGTGGAGACACCCGGTCCCTTTAATTGGGAATACCTCAACCACATAACTATCTATATTGACAAAATACTGCATGCATATATATTAGTAAATATTGCATGTAAAGTTACGTTTTCAAATGTTTTCAACGTATTTTCTGAGGCATTAAGTTGTTTGCAAAGATAATTTTGGGATTCCAGGAATAATAATTGATAATTTTGAGCAAACTACATATCGAAAGATTTTCAGGATGTTTTACCGAACAGCTTTGTCATAGGCATAGGCCTATATATAGCCGTCCACCCCGCACGTCCATATTAAATTTCTGGAGTGGGACAAACGACATGTGCATGACGCTAAACTCTTCTGCATTTGGCAATAACATCACTACCACAAATTGACAATGCATGCATGGGCAATAACAATAAAGAGTATTTTTCTGTGTTGGTGTAAACCGCGTAGCTCAGTTGGCAGAGCATTGGGCTAGTTTCCAAAGGTCGTAGGTTCGATTCCCACCGTGTCAGGCATATTTTTCAAGCTTGCCCGGTGTGGATATACACTCAGAGTAACATCACAAGCATTATACATAAAACTGTATTTGCCGGTGTGATAAATAAGTTATGGAAACGAGTATAACTTTTGAAATTATATCTCACATATGCTACGTATACGTACGTAGCCTACGTCAATATTATATATACGTAATACGGAAACTTCGATTACGCGCGGGCTTCCCATGTAATGCCGGTATATCACAACATCGATCATGCAAAAGTACAAAATCTAGATATTTCACACACCAACGTTAACTACGTACTTGTATAATAATGTGCATGCATGCATGTTTATGGCTTTTGGCAAGATCTTACCTTTCAAGATGCTTAGAGTTGCTTCATGATCAAAGCGTTCAACATTCTTGAAATGTTGTGAGATATTACGTCTGATTTAACAATACTTTACTTAATTATAGGAAAACTCTGAAATTTTTCATATCGAGTCGAATCTATAACTAGGCCTATATATAGCCTATAGCTACACCCTAACACTTGCATGCAAAACCACGCAGAATAACTATAATATAATTTTTACAATATAAGATGGACAGTATACGTAAAGGATAAAATTGTTGACTATATACTAGTACTATACCATTATATAATTACAATAAAAACTATGAAATATAAATAATGTGCAAATTAAACAAAACTGACAAATATATTATAATAGTTTGTCTTGAAGGAAGGATTTTTACTCACGAAAAACATTAAAACCTGCACACTTCCGCTTTAATTTGTATAGATGTTGTCATTTACTTTAATTTTATTTTTGTTCTGTATTACTGTGGCGGTTGTATGAAAATTGTGGCCAAAATAGGCAATAAAAGTTAAATTTTGCTACTTTTATGTGTTAACATGCAGTGGCTCGGATCTCATGAAAAGGCATTCTTCGTTACAGTTATTGCAATTTATCGTCAGTATAAAGACTATAAAACAAAGAAAACTAAATTTTACAGTCGCATTTCTTCGTAATTAGCGAACTTAAGCAAGGCTTATAATCTATATTATACGGGGACGTGACAACAAACAGCTTTAAATTTTACTCTTATATAATTAGGATTACCTCACTCCCCATTGCGGCTTTTCAGTGACCGATTACATCAAGTATTACGATATTATACGCTTATAATTATTTTACTTAGTTTGACTATTTATCTTTACAACAATTGTGATACTAGTGTATTACTTTCCTAACTGTGTTTTTATCCAAACGGCCACCCTGCCAACTTGCTAAATTTCCGGCAAAGAACTTTGCCCTGAATTACAAAGAACGACTGTTATAAACCACCCTGCCAACTGAATTACAAAGACTACTGTTATTAAAATTAAATCAGTTAAGAACCACAACAAGCTGAACAAAAATGCAACGTCAACGAGGACGGCTAATAATATTATATTAATACAAGAAAGTGAGCAGAAATGAACAATTATAATTACATATAATCTGTTAAAACTCTTGCATGTTTACATGCAACGCTTACATTTCAAGGTGGGACAACTGCTATACTTTTAATTGGGCAAGAAAGCTTTCGGCTCAATTTCAGGTTCCATTGTACACTACAAATTGTTTGATATGTTTGGCTTTCTACACTCGATGAAATGATTAATTAAAAATACTAGTCTTTGAAAATTTGAAAAAATTTGAAATCTTAATTAAAAACGAACTATGCGCCGGACTGTAAATATACATGTTTCTTCTCAGTTTCGATCTCTCCAGTTCGTCTCCATATTGAAAAACTAACGTAAAACTTCATGTTACACTGATGAATGTTGTCAAATGTCAATACTTGGTGCAATCTGCATGTAGCACTTCTCACTCGTATAGTTTATAAGACTTATAACGACCCGAGGAATGGAAACATAATTCCATTCATTCTTGTTGTTAATTGATGAGTTTGCTGGACTGAATTTTACTGATAAGCACTGCTTCTGTGATCTGTCTCAACATCGCATCATCACTATAAACACGCCAGTAAGAGAGTGTTGATGGGGTATATCGTGAGTCGTGATTCACTCAATTTCGG